ATTTAATTAATAGTAAATAGTGTCATGTTCTTAAAACGTAATGCAATAAAAAAATACTATAATCTGAAGTAACTAACTGACCCATCGGTAAATACAATTTCAATAGCGAATATTTACAAATTCAAATGCTTCCAAAATTGTAAAAAAAATCCTCATCGCTGAATTCTAAAATGATAGGGTCGTGGAATTTTTATATTTTCTTGTCATATTGAGAATGATGAACTGCCTGACTCGGGGTCGGCGGTGACCCCAGTCGATAGACAGGGAAATTCCAGGTGGAAAATACAAATGTTTCCTGATCTTTTTTAGTTTAAGCTTTAAAAAAATCTCGAATTCCAAAATCTAAATTTCACAAAAAAAATTCATCTAGTTAAATGTTCGCCAAATTGCCTTTTCCATCGAACACTCCTCTGTCTACCGATCTAGCCACCTTGGAAATATTTTAAAGAAATAGAACAACAATAAAAAAACTATTCGCCTTGATAAAATTAATATCAGCAGAAAGGTGATGTGATCCGCACTTTTCTCAAGCTTGCAATTATTCCACTCCTCCTCCCGATCTCTATCGAAGCATAAAAAATACGTGCTGTATTTTCCGACAAGGTTAACAAAAAAAAATTAAGATTAATTTAAAATTTAATTTAAGGCCCGGATTATCTTTCGAACCTTATCTGACTTGTTTTTCCATTTTCATAATTTAAAATGTATCATAATTTCCATTGAATTTTACACAACGCAGGAGTCCTTAAAGATTATGATTGTATAATCAAAAAAGTAGGAAAAACTGAACATTTTCAAAGAGCGTTCTTAATGAAGATTAGGAAATAAGTCTGATAGAGAGGAAATTGTAAATGGTTACTTTATCCATTTACAATTCCTCGTTTGGAAGATAATACAGGCGGACCTTAATTTTAAATTTCTCGATGCTCAAAGGAAAATTTCTAAACTCAATGGAACTCAAAATTCTCCTCAGTGAAATTAACTAATTAAATCATCTACGATTAAGCCTAATTGGAGGATAATAAACGTTTTTAACTCTAAACAATAATGATCAAGTGCTACTTCATCGATCGATCCCCTTAATTGTTGTAAAATTCGATTAATTGACCCTAAATGAGATCCTGCCGAGGGTCCGATGAACATAGGCCTCTTGAAATACCCATTTGCACTATTAGAAACATTCGATACAATGTTTTAACTCATCACTTAACAATTTTTACACGCACACACACGGAATTTCCTAGTTATGTTTTTGTTTCCTTAAGTTCACGAGGATAATTGAATCAGTGGTAAAGGGGTGCTGATTATTTTACGAATTTCTCTAATGTTTCTTCAAACATTTTTTCAACGTGAAACGAATGTTCAGACATTTTCGAAAATATCTCAAGAGGTGATACTTTAAGAAGAAAATGTCACAAAAAATTTTGTGTAGGAAATTTAATTCCCCACAGAAAAGACACTTTGCAATTTTTCTCTAAACCTCATAGTTTTCAAGATATTCCTAAAAAAACTGAAAATGCGGAATTTTGGAAATCCTCTGCTGAACATGAATGTCCAGACTATTTCAAAAATATTTCAAGAAATACTATACGGAGAGAAAAAAGTTCAATAAAAATTGCCAGAAAAAATGTAAAAATTACGTTTCGAAACGTAATCCGCGAGTTAAATAAAATTCAATAAAAAGTGTGAGCCGGAACTAAAATTGTACGAATCGCCACGTAAATTCTACGATTTGTTCCGTAAAAATTAACCACCCGTCTGATGACTCACCGCTGTGGAAACAAAAAGTCGTTCCGTAATTTTACCCCAACGATTGAGAAATTTTACGGAACGGAACGTAGAACTAACTCACCAGCTTCATAAAAATTGTTGAACGCTCAAGAATTTTTTTATTTGGAGGCATAATAAGTCGGCAAGTTTCTGTAAGATTCTACTTTTTCGGGAAAAATTACGTGACAATTTCGTACTTTATTCGTTAATGAACCTGAGAATTCATTGAACGTTTCAGATTTCTTCTCTTCCATTCCTATAAAAATTGTCGGAAAACGATTCCCCATTGCGGATTACGTGAATTGTTCCGTAATTTTTACGAAAAATGTAAAAAACACATTTTGTAGATGATTTGACTTCTCGTAAAAAATCTTTTTTGACATTTTCCTTTAAACCCCACATTTTCGAAGTTACATTTGAGAAATATGTGCGAAGAAAATTTCTAACTCGTCTTTCATCACTTCACTGCAGGAGTCAACATCAATTTTTCCCATCGTGAACTCATTATCCTCGAAATTAAGAAGCAAAACATCCAGGCAGCCAGTGATTGGTCAAGTGTTGGCTCTTAATAATTTAATTTTTTGCTTATTAATTATTTTTACAAGGTAAATCTCTTTAAAAACCCTTCAATGAATGCAACGGGTGAATTTAAACGGTATAATGACCCTTACGATATGAGTTGACGTTATTTGATGATCAACCATGAAAATGTGAGAAAATTCATCCCCAGACGCAGTTGCAAAGCAAGCGATGCTAAAACAATTTTTTTTTCAATTTTTTTCTCTTCTTTTTTAGAATTTATTTTACTTTTATTATCATGATGTGTCTACGTCTCTGGTAATTATCGATCAATTGCGATTGATTTGGAGGGAAAAGTCCGATAGTATCAATTACTTTGGAACGCTCGAGTTAATTGAAAATCCAATTCCAATTTCTAATAAAAATAAAAATCCAATTTCGTGGAGAAAGGAAAACGAAATGCTCGTAATTACGTAATAATCTCGTTAATTATCGCCTTGAGGAGAAAATGCGAAAAATGTCTTTTGATATTTCAGTAACGAAGCGGTTCAAATCGATTTTCACTATTGGCCGATTTTCGATGAATATCTCGAAATCTAAGGAAGATATCAAAATTGTTGTCATGACCTTTTTGGCAGCCAGCAATTTGCTCTACAGAAAAGGTTATTACGAAAATTTCGATATCTCTGTGAGATTCGGAGATATTCCTTGAATTTTACTAAGCGTAAAGGTGTTTTGTGTAAAAAGTCAAAATAATGCAAAAAAAAATGGAAAATTCATGGAAGAAATGCCTAAGTATGCTGCATCATTAAGAATTTTCGCACATTTCTTTCAAATCTCAGTTTCAAGAAAAAAAAAATGAAAATTGGATATTTTTGTAACCCCTCCAGCTATAACCTCCGAGGTTACCCCACTCTCAATTACGAAAATTTCCATGGCACCCAAAAAAATAATGAACTATTCAGGAAAAACTTGTGGGTGATGAATCAAATTTTTCTTGAGAACACGTATAAGTTTCAAATTTTTTTCAGATTTCATAAGAAAGTTATTTGAACAAATGATTCGAAAATTATGAATTTCGGAGCAATTATGCCCTCACGCGCAGGCGCGTGATTCGAATGTCAGTGAGCATCATGGGAAAGGTATGGGTTGGACCATGGAACTGAGAGAGAGAGAAAACACTCGACAGGTTTACCAACTCAAGAGGCATTTTAATATTATTTCAATAAATAGAAAAACATCCAATAAAAATTATTTGACACCCGTAGGTGATGAGAGAAAAATCAGTCAATCTGATAAATAAAATCAATATTCAAAAAATGTTCAAATGCACACTTAAATAGTTACTTGAAATTTGGAAAATTTCGTGCTCAGCGATTGAATCAGGTCTCGAGAACAATAAGACCCCCTTCCATTTCATCCCCCGGTGATTTGCACACGAAACACCTTAAGTCGACTCATGTATTTTACCACTTCGCTACTGAAATATTGTGCTCAGGAGAAAATGTAAGACATCTTCTCCCCAAGTTCATAATTACCGAGATAATCGCCTAACTAGTGACCCCCATCCCCAAATTGTGTATCCATATGCTATTGAACCTCAGTGAACCATAAAATCCATCATCTTGGTAATAATTAGAGTGTCGTTATATTATTAAAGCTACTTCGTCATATGAATTAACAAAACCAACGTAACTATCTCACCACTCTGTTCCCTATTATTACAATTTGCTATAATTTTTTTAATGATTTCAATTGTTCCTCGGTTCATTCGGAATTTTTTTTCATATCCATAATTAATTTTTCAGTCTTAATCTGTTCTTCGATTTTATATTTTCCATGTTTCTCGATTGTAATTTGATCGATCAAAACGCACTGTTTGGCTGATTGACGTCTACGGACCTTATTGTCTGCTCCGTCATTCATTTTTATAATGAAGTAGTGAAATTGATAGAACCAAGCCTATTTTGGAGTAGCAGAAACCACTAGGTTCAGGTGAAAATGTCAAAGGCTATAATTTTTTCTTTTAACCCTCGATCACTCGCTCAATGAGCGCAGCGCCACCCGTTTTCGTTTTTTTATATTTTAACGTGTTTCTCGACGCTTAAAAATTCTGAAAAAATTAGAGTTCTTAGTTCAATCCTTTTATTAAGCGTTGGCGTTGTCCGTTTTTTTCTCGGGCAATTTGTTTAGCTAAAAAAAGAAAAGAAACGTCGAACGGACAGAAAAACGGCGCCGCACCGGGCGGTGCGAGCGAGTCTCTGTCGACCCCTCGAGCGACAGTGTTGCTACATTCACTGTCACACTTGGAATGCGCGCATAGTGGTAAGCGCCAATGTGGCAACAGCGGCCCTGCGCTAACCGTGCGCCGGATACAGGCAGGCAGCCGAGCGCGAGTGATCGAGGTTTAAACCAAATAGTTCCTGAGATATTTAGACAATAGTCTCAATATTTTTGATTCAACTGCTTCATGGGTGGAAAAATAACAGAGAAATTATGCAATTCTCTTTCGTTTTTTTATACATTTTTGCATGAAAAAAGTCAATTGACGTGAATTTTTCTGCATAACTTTTGGCTTTCGAGGAATATCTCCGAATCTAAGGGAGATAGCGAAATTTTCGTAATGACCTTTTTCGTAGTTCTTAGTTCGCTCTATAAAAAAGATTATAACAAAAATTTTGCTATCTGCCTTAGATTCCGAGATATTCATTGAAAACTGACAATAGTAAAAAAACGACGTTAAGTTTTACCGCTTCGCTCCTGAATTCATGGGCTTTGTTTTACGTTTTATTTTATTGGATTCTGAACAGAATGAGTATTCTGAAAGAGGAAAAAATAAAACGGAAAAAAGGTAAAAAATTTTTAACCAAGAATTTATAAGGGATAAAATTCAAGAGGAAAATTCATACAGAAAAATAAAAATCTATTGGCATGACAAAGTTGCATTATCTCTAGTCTAGTAGAAATAGTTCAATAGTGGAATTCTATTGTAATTCTGCAGGAAATTTTAACAGAATTCCACTAGAAATCCAAGAAAATTTGTGCAAGAGTGCAATAGATTTTCTTATTCACATTTTTCCATACTTTATCATCTACAAAAAAGTTCCTCTGACATTTCTCTTTAACCCAAATTGTTTCCGAGATGTCAACAAAAAACCTGAAACATTTTGACTCACACGCTCAAAATGTCTGTTCCCACTATTTCGTAAATATCTCAGAAACCGTTGGGTTTAGACAAAAACTTCAGCAATCTTTTTCTATAGCAAATTTAATTATTTACAAAAAATGTTCAGTCAACTTTTTCTCTCAACTCAATAATTTCCGAGATATTCGGAGAATAATGGAAACAAATTTGGTCCCATTCAATTTTACCACTTCATCGCCTATTTAATTTGATTATCCTATATGCATGGCAAATGTTCTCCCTAGCGCAGTGATCTTATCTTCAGTTTGAGTACAAAATACGTGGAAAACCTTAGGACAATGAGCATGGCAAGGAGGGCAACAGCGTCGAGCCAGTAAGCTGATTTGTCCATTGCCATTTCCTCGAGGAATTTCTTTGGCTCTCTGTAGTGGCAGTAAGCCTCGCGGCATTTCAATCGTGGTCTGTTGTATCCAAAGACTGTTAGCATTGCTCCCTCAAAACCGTAACGAATGAAGGATAGATAGGACAACCAGCTCAAGTACGATGGCATTGCGGTGTATTTTATGAAAAATCCGGAGAAGAGGATTATGGGAACTGTTGATACTGGACCGATGAATACTCCACTCTGCAAATTGATTTTAAAATTTAATCAATAATTTCATGTTATCAATTGGGGTTAATAAATCGAATTTGGCAACAATTCAGAGGGCTATGGATTATTCTTTGGAGTAAAAATAGTTCTTTAGCGATCATTACCATCTACATGCTCGAAAATATTTTGTAGAAAAACCTGTTGAATTTCTATTGAACCTCTACTGACAATTGTATTAGTTTTTGGTCGATTCTTATGAGGAATTCCTCAACGTGAATTTTCAAAGTTTTATTCACTCAATTTTTTTCAAACAAGAAGAAATCAATCAAAAAAACCTGAAAAATTTGAGCAGAACAATTTCTATAGAGAATATCTCAATAGAATAAGTCGTATAGAAAAATAGAATTCTGTTAATTGTTTCAATAGCAAGTTTTGCATTGAATAACACTTTCGTGTGTTCTAATGAAACATTTCTATCGTGAAAATCATCCACTTGTGGTTTTTCTTTGTTCTTTTTTTATCTATCACAGAAAAAAAATATTGAAAATTTTTTTTCAGGTTCCTGATTTCCAGGTAAATGTGGCTGATTTCTAGGAATCTCAATAAAATAAGATATTCTCTCAGGAGAATAAACTGTATAGGAAAAGCGAATTCTTTTGATTGTTTCGATGAAGAATTTTGCATTGAGCGTTGAAAGAACGCGCGGATGAGCTGCGGATGACTTCAATAAAGTTTATTCATTCGAGTCCATATAAAGGCCCAATTAAAAAATCTCCAGTAGGATTAGTTTATTCAATAAAATATTGCACTCACCTCAACACTCATTGAAGCCCCAATCAACAATCCAATGGATTGTGAGACGAGTGCTGTCAGTACGCAAATATTGAGGTACATTAAGAATCTGTATGTTTCCAATGGTTGAGATGTCATGAAGTAAACAATCATGACGTAGGCTATCGAGAACACAGTCTAGAAAAATAATTAACACGGTAAATTATCGAAAAAGGAATAATCACGTGGAGAAATTGAAGCATTGAGTATATGAGCTTCCGAATGGAAGCTTTGAAATCGGTTAAATTTCGCCAATGAATGGATGGAATTGAATATTTTTCTTTCAAATATCAGTATTATTGAGCCCTATCCATCGCCATTAATTAAAATTTAATTTATCGATAATTTTTTTCAATTTTCAAATATTTCGAAAATCGGTTGACACTTCGTTGTAAAGAAGGAAAGGATAATAAAAATAATAATGATAATAACATCCAACTGAGTTGAAAATCTGATGAAATTAGTTAAAAATAAATGTTATTCAATTTGATAAAATGAAATAAACAATGAATTATACATGACAGAAGGAAATGATATGCAAAACAAACATTCGGGAGCATATTGCTAATTTATCAGCAAAAATAACTTGACTAAATGCAATGCAAGAGCAATTTCCCACTTGTTTTAATGATTATGATAGTTAACGTCATGAATTATTTACTTGGAATGGTAGATCAGAAATTGTTCTTGCGAGGTAGAACGATTTCAGCGAGTACCAGTAATTCAAATGCTCCCTCACGAACACAGACATCTCCATAGGAACTGCAGAGAAGGAATAAAATTAATAAACCAACTACATGCGCGGAATTATCATGACGAGCTAGATAAATTCGGATGATAAAAAATTGCTTACACGTGAGAATTGTTGGCATCATGGCGGTGAACATCAAGAACATGACAGTGAAGAAGACACAGCCAGCATTGCTGTAGACCTCAGCACCTTCATTACCGATGTCGTAGTACAGAGCACCAATGAGAAATCCAACGATTATGTGAGATATCAATCTCACCCGCGTTAATGTCTGAAAATTCATCAAATATCGGCATCTGTTATTGGGTTCACCTAGAAATTTATCATCTTCATAAGGATTTACCGGCGGAAACCCCATTTTTATAGGAACTCTTCAGACAATTCAGTAGCGAAGCGGTAAAAGGAAATAAGTCAATTTTTACTATTGGCCAGTTTTCAATCAATATCTCGGAATCTACGGGAGATAGCAAAATTTTGGTTATAACCTTTTTTGTGGTGTGGATTGAGTACTACAATAAATGTAATTACGAAAATTTTGCTATCTCCCTTAGATTCGGAAATATTCCTCAAAAATTCAACTGGGAGATAAGTCGATTTATCTCCATTTACCACTTCACTACTGAATTCCAAACCGTTCAAATAATTATGGAGAAATCACAGAATCTAAGAGGTTTGATAAATACATTTTATTCAACTTTTTTTTAGGGAAAGGAATTATCCACAAAAAGTTTCTTGATATTTTCCGGAAAACAGGTTGAATTCGATTTAACACACGGAGAGAAATATTCAATAAAAAACCTATTCAAAAAAAAATATTATTTATAAACGGGCGTTTATATTTTACAATATCTTTCGGCTTTTCCCGCAAACCTGGATTATTTCACGGAGGAAATAATCGAGTTTTGAGGGAAAAGCCGAATATCCGTGGAATAATCAGCGCTTCTTCACGATTGATTCAATCATCCCTCTGAGTTCAACGAAACAGAGCACCGCTAGGGAATTCCGTGGGTGTGTGCGTGTGAACTCTGCCAACTGATGAATCGCAACGCTGTATCTGATATTTTTACTAGTGTCAATGGGTCTTACTCTCAATTACGGTCAATGAATCGAATTTCGCAACAGTCAAGGGGGCCATTGATCATTGTTCAGAATAAAAATAGTTCTTTATCGATCATTATAATTCAATTATGCTCGACCATCAATTATTGCGATGGTTAATTCTGGTCGGGAGAAGTTCTTGAGTTCAATTGATTAATCGAAGAACATTCGTGACTAGTAAAATCTCAAGAATACTTTAATAAGTAATAGGTTACACGAAAACGGCTTGGATTACGTACACTGTTGGAAAAAAAATGAAATTTCATGGACAATTGACTACTAATTTTCAGGACAGTGACACTGAATGCGATTTAGGGGGGGAAAATCATGAAATTTGAGGTTTCACTGAACATTCAGTAAAATCCCAGAATTTTAAGCAGCATAAAGACGAGAATTCCTCGATTTATTTAAATTTCCAATCTAATATGAATATTCATTGCCAAATTACATTGAATTTTCAATGAAATCTGAAATTTCATAATTTGTTTCCCCCTAAATCACTTTCAGTGTCACTGCTCTGCATCGGGCTTAATTCTATGAAAACATTGTGATCTCAATTATTTTAAATAAATTCATGATAGTATTTTCTGAACTAGTACTTCGATATTCAGGCTATCGCCTATCTACTTTTGGGTGGTCGACAAGTTATTTGGTTTTTCTTTTTTTACTCTATTCTATAATTTATTGGATTTGTAATTTGGATATCTCTTGTACACCTTGTATTTAATCTTGCTGTTGTCCTTAGGAGGTGCTGTACACCCCAGGATATCAAATAAATACTTTTCTCTCTCTCCTGAAAATTCAAGAATATATTTACCGAAATTTTCTGGTTTTCTACTCATTTTCATGAAAAAATGAAATGGAAATTTACAGTTCAGTTTGATTTTTCCACGAAATTCTAAATTTTCAATGACGAAATTCCTTGAAATTTCAGTGGTCATTAAATTCGATGAAAATTTCCATAAAGTGTGCCAGAAATTTCAGACAATAATTTTTAACAGTGTATAGACCATGTTGTGAGGAAAGCAATTTCTCACTGGTTTTCTCTGTGATGCAAAATAGCATTCAAAATTCCCCAAAAACCCCATGAATGCAACTTACCATATCCCTCATCTGCGACAAAAAAGTTCTCTTCAACAAAATCCAGAACTGCGTCCAGCCATTAGTTGGAAAGCCGACCTTCTGTTCAATGCTCTCAGCACTATCCAACAAGGAAGTGGTACACGACACTGGCATATTCAGGACTGTCCCAGGTGGCCCCTTGGAAACTCCATTGGGTATCAGGCTCTCAGCCTTTCCCTCTTTCACCTCATCCGGAGGTGACTGTTTGGCGATATCATTCGATACCGCGTGTGTCAAAAAATTCGTCTGATAATTCTGGTAATTATTGCATTTTCCATTATTAACGGCAGTCACCAGCTTCTCCACGCACTCTCCGTGCTCTCCCGATGCCACTTCCATCACAAAATCAGCTGGATTGTGATAGCTGGGGCAATCGAGGCCCATTGACGATAGAAATGGCACTAGACCGTGAACATTTCCTTGATAAATACACTGGCCTTCAGCGAGCAGATACAGATTGTCGAACATCTCGAAAAGTCTCGCACTGGGCTGGTGGATCGTGCAGATAATGGTCCTTCCACCTGCGATGATAAGTTAAAGAATCAGTTAATGATAAGTTAATTTAATAATTCTTTAAATTGACGCATAATTTCAATTTTAGTTGATGAAACATTGGTAATGAACTCGTTTTTTGAACTGTACTTTCTTCAACCGAGGAATTGGCTTCTACTATTTGATTCACATATTCATATATCTTTTCTGAGAGATCTCTCAAAGTACTCAACCGATTTTAATTTTTCCTTTTTAAAATACTCGGCATGGTAGTCTTTATCTAGATCTACGAAAATATGTATATCAGTTTAAGCAACGATTACTTGCACAAAAAAGGAGGTATCAATTTGAAATTTGGTAAGATGATAACTCTCATAATAGCAAAGGTTGGTATTTTGTATGAACATAATCGGACAAGCGGTTTCGGAGATACTTCATTTTTTGTATTAATCAAAACCTGCTTCATCAAAAGGTTAACTATTTCCTTGTAGAATATGACAGGGAATTGATACCGATCCATCCGGAAGCTTACTACGAATGCAATCAGTAGAAATAAAAAAAGACCAATAAGGCAGAAAGTAATAGTCACCTGTGTTCTATCGGATTTGTTTTTCATTTTCGTACGTAAAATAACTTGAGAAGAAATAGGTTAAAATAGGTTAAAGATTAGTTTTTTGGATGAGCGCAATCGGCCAAGCGATTTCGGGGATATTTAACCTTTTGTAAAAATCTATTTCATCAAAAGGTTAAATGTCTCCTTGTAGATACACTGTAGAATGTGGTTGCAGTTGTGTGCCTGTCGCAGGGACAAGGAATTGCAGCGGATCCATTTCAAACCTTACTATTAATGGAATTGGTAGAAACAAAAAAAGAAAAAGACTAATAAGGCAAACAGTAACGATCACATGCCTTCTGTCGCGTAGGCTCGAACCCCTCTTGGTTTAAAAGAACAACTTCGATCCATTCGAAAGCTTACTACCGATATAATTGGTAGAAATGAAGAGGAGAGAAAGACTAATAACGCATGAAGTAACGGTCTCATGTAATCTGTCACATGTTTTCTGACGACTGCCTCTTTCTCTGCATTTCAATAAAATTGATCAAAAACCCCGTCACACACCTCTGCAAAGAGACTTCAGGAGGCTGAGGCACTGGAAGCAGGAGGAGCTGTCCAGGCCTGAAGTCGGCTCGTCAAAGAACATGACTGGGGGATTGTTGACCAACTCCAGGGCTATTGACAACCGCTTCCGTTGGCCACCACTCAACGACTGGGTCTGGGTGTTGCTGGCGTCCGAGAGCCCCAGGGTGTCGATGATCTCCTCGATGAGGACCTTCTTCCCCGCTGCGTCGATGTCCTTCCCCAGCTTGAGATTCGCCGAGACTGTCATCGCCTCGTGGACCGTCAGGTGCGGCAGCAGCCGGTCGTCCTGCATTATGTAGCAGGAGGTCTTCCGGAAGTGACGGAGATTGCGCTCCTTCCCGTTTATCAGGATCGAGCCGTTGAGGTTGGAGGTCCTGGGGAAGATTCAGAAGTTTACATGGGGGCCACGGGGATTTTCACGGGTCAGAGTTAATGAGTTGTGGCTTTTGCCATTTGCGGCAGCTTGATAACTGTTGAGTCATTTTGATAATGAGGGGTTTTGCGGTGACAACATCAGAAGTTTTTTTCCTAGGTAATTTAATTCTCGGGAAAAAAAATTCATGACTTGGAACTTTTTGTTTGCAATTTTTCAATCATTTTCCACATCATTCTCATTGATTTCTGATAGGGCCTGTGATGTTGTGAAAGCGTTACTCAGAATGTGTTTTCTAAAAATATGTTCACCATATGCCATCTTGGATTAACTGACTTCTTATGTGAATACTGCTATTCTTTAATTGTTTATTTTTGCCATGGATGTATATATCTCTATGTTTTGAATCCTATTATTGGCTTCTGCTGTTGGATTCGTGTTTCAATAAATAAATCTCTCTATCTCCCTATATTATAAAAATCCAAATCGACTTCTGGTGATGGAAATTTGGTACTCGAAATTAAAGGTCAAAATAAGGATTACGAGGGTCATGAGGGTCAGAATAAGAGCCACACGGGTCGGAATATGGGTCACAAGAGTCAGATTAAGGATCACAAGGGTCAAATCGATTTCTGGTGATGAAAATTTGGTGCTCGAAACTAAGACTCCAAAATTAAAGGTCAAAATAAGGGTCATGAGGGTCAGAATAAGAGCCACACGGGTCGGAATATGGGCCACAAGAGTCAATTCGACTTCTGGTGATGAAAATTTGGTGCTCGAAACTAAGACTCCAAAATTAAGGGTCAAAATAAGGGTCATGAGGGTCAGAATAAGGATCATGGGGGTCATATGGGGATCATATGAGGGGTTAGCGAGCGGAGTGAGTAGAGGGCGTAACTCCCTAGTAAATTAATAAATAAATAAAATTAGACAACATATATATTTATTTGAATACAATTGATCCATTTACTTCAAAGAATCTGCTGTTATAATCTGATAAGACATATTTGATTTGAGCAAAAGTTCCTTTATATTTGAAAGATGATTTGTTCGATGCAAACAAAAGCTTTCTCACGAGTTTTTTTTAAATACCTCCATTTATTTGATTCCAATGAACTATTTCTCTGGGTGTAGATAAAACAAATTATCACTAGAAGTACTAGGTTCGGAAGGAATAAAGTCGAAATTCTTTTTTTTATCAGAAATGAAATTATCTACAGAAAATGAATCAAATCTCAGGATTTTAGTTACGAAACTAACTAGTTGGGAAATTATTCTAGAAAGAAGTCAAAAGTTTTCTTCAATAAAAATTATGTACAAAAAATCGGTTGACATTTCCCGTGAAATGGACACTCTATTGAGATGAATACGTAATGATCGAAGATTGTCACACTTGCTTCATTCCAGAGGGTTAATCAAGGAATTAACTCGTGTAGAGGTGGTCTACGATCCAATGGAGAGAACCTTTTGAAGGAAATCCAAATCCCTGAATAACCAAAAACCTTGCATTCACCTGGGCTTCCAATCTATTTGATTAACTCACTTGTATCCTGCGAGGACATTCATGAGAGTACTCTTTCCAGCCCCCGAGGGTCCCATTATCGCCGTCAACTCGCCCGACCTGACCTTTCCAGTCACGCATTTCAATATAGTTTTATACCCTGAAATAAATGGAAAAGGACTGTAAATAAAATTTTCACTTCATCCGAACCCAATTTCTACGAGAGATTGAAAATTTTGTCCGAGTTTTTCAACTGTTACACTTCAATTTCCTATTGAAAATTGAAAAATAACAATTTTTGAGATGCAAACCAAAGAATTTTTACATAAAAAAAATTTTGTTAATCATCGTTTTATAAAAAATAAACAAAAATTGTTTTGTTGCTATCAAATATTTTTCCATTTGATAGAAACAAAAATTTCCTGAATTTTAATAGTGAATGCATCAGGATTTTCTATTCTCTCTGTTAATGTGAAAGGTAGTTTTGATTAATCATTTATTGCAAAAATATTGAATTTAGGCCAAGAAACTTCTATAGAAATTTTCTCAATAAAATGAGAAATCTCAATAAATTCTCTAACTGAGAATTCATTCTCATAAAATATTGAACTTCTTATTTATTTATTTTTTGTTGACTGCGTGCCGTCGATTGCCAAACAACTGGTGTTACCCGCTCTAATCTTTTATGATTAATTCATAGTGATTGAGTACTTAGTAACCCTATTGAATTGTCGACTAATCACGAATATTTTTTACGTAAATTCAAACAATTTAATATTACTTTTTTTATCTGCCTTATGTTTTTTTTCATTTATATCATGTCAGTAGCGAAGTGGTAAACCGGTATAAGTCAATTTTGACTATTGACCAGTTTTCGATGAATATCCCGGAATCTAAGGGAGATAACGAAATTATTGTTATAACCTTTTTTGTAGAGCCGATTGAGTGCTACAACAAATGAAATTACAAAAATTTCGCTATCTCCCTTAGATTCGGAAATATTCCTCAAAAACTCTTTAACACTTCGCTACTGATGTAATAATCTTGTATTTGCCTTTAGGGGGTGCGTTCTGACCACGGCATCGATAGAATGCTCAAACATTAAACTTTTATTGAGAAATAAAATGAATAAATAAAATAATAGAGTAAAAAATGAATGAATAAATTACGTAGACAAGTAAGTTCACTGAGTAGGAAATTCTGTACCTCTTTGCCTGCCCTCTGAAACGCTATAGGCCAAGTCTTTGAACTCTATGTCGACTGGCGGTCTCCTTGGCAAGTGTGTCAGTGCCACCACCGGCTTCTTATTCACCTGGCCAGGACTAATGCCCGTGTGATTCTGTACTTTACGGGCTAAACCACCCGTAGCACAGCCAGTTGCATTGCCATTAGACGATGCTGTGCCGTTACAGCTGCAGTGAAGGTTATTTTGGGAACCGCTGGAAATAGAATGGGAAAATATTTTTATTACAGTGGAATTTATGGGGAACTTTGAACAATTGAACACATTACTTTTACAGAATTTTTTTTTTTGTAGACCTCAAGAAATGACACACTTAAGGGGGGTGACACCACTTTTTTTAAAGTAGGCTCTACCCTTCGGCCGGACTAGGCTGTACTTTTGGATATTTTCAGTTTTTAAATTTTTCAACTAAATTGGATGGAAAAATTTGAAATTCATACCCCGTCAGTATTATCTAAATTAACTTTCGCAAAATATTGATATTTTTTCAAACATTTCCCTCTTATAAATAAAAAAATAATAATAAAAATAAAAATAAAATAAACTCTTCATCAAATGAAATATTCATTTATTTTAAATGGATCCTGTACGAAAATTGAATCAACTGCTTATTTGAAAGAAAGAAAATTTATTTAATTCGAATAAACCATTTCTCTGGGCGCGGGGTGAGGGGTTCATTTACTTTAGTGCTTTTGAGTGGATGTGATACTAGTTGAAATAGCTGATAGAATATTCTAGTAATAGAATCTGTAGATCTGAGTGAAATGAAACCATGCCAAAATCTGGCCCAGCGAATTCATTTGGCTAGGACTTGAACTATTCGAGAATAAAAGTCGTTCCTTTTGGATGAAACGGTTTTTGTTTCACCGCGAATGAATGATAATGATGGCGATAATTATTTACGGTAATTATTTGGTATAGTTCATGCTGGATAAAAATTATGAGTGAATATTTTCTATATTATCCTGAGGGCTATCTACTCGATCAACCTTAGATGTTTTTAAGATGTACTATATGCTATCCATCAGCTTTCCGGACCTCTGTATGAGGGAAACAATTAAATATTGTCAATGCACAAATCAAAAATATTTTGAGAGTGAATAAGTTCCAGTGATAGGAATATCAATCAATCATAATTACCGTTAAATTGTGAAGTTGTCAAATTTTAACAGAAATCTTAAAAATTTTAAATATTAAAGTGACCATCAGTTTGAACATTTAAATTTCGAAATATTCTATCAACCAATAATTTAGGTAGGATGATTGACGATTATTTTGGATCATCGAAAATCAAGTACCTAAAGTTAGAATTAGCTTGTTAACTAAAAAATTAGATTTCAGTACTATCAAATATTTTATTCACCACCAATCGGGAAATCTAGCTAATAAATTCTATAAATTTTTAATTTGTTAAATATAGTTAAACTTTGAACAATATAAGGAGATAATCCTTTTTAATGTTGTCAAAATCTAATATTATTGCCTATCCCTGATAAGTTATAAAATAACTTGGATATTTATGGCCTTTGTCGCGTGAAAAAAGACTTTTCAGTATTTCTTCACAAAAATCATTTATTCTTTAGGTAATTGTATGATTGCTGTAAATATGACGACTTGATTAATCATGTAATCGTGAATTTTTTATCCAATTTCTTTTTTTTTTATATAAAGAAGAAATTGAAAAATATTTGCCGGAATTTCCTATTAAATACTTGTACATGAAAAAAGGACTGTACCCTCCTCTTGAATGAAATAAAACCCTCCACTTTTCATTCTTTTCAACAATATTTGCTCTGAAAATGAATAAAATCAAACATTTATTTCAAGTATTTCTTCACAAAAATCATTTATTCTTTAGGTAATTTTATGATTATTGTGAATATGACGACTTGATTAATCGTGTAATTGTCTTCGTCATGAAAAGAATTGTCTGCAAGGAGTGTCCCTTGAAATTTTGGACAAATAAAGAATTTCTTTAGATTCTGGGAATTTCATGAGCGTTTGTACTTCAAGGGGAGATTTCCCTGAATTCCTGATTTTTCATTAATTTTCCCGGGATAATTTAACTGAAATTTACAGTTCCCACAGATTTGTTCCGTGAAATTATAAATTTTCAATGACAAAATTCCTTGAAATTTCAGTGGAAATGTTACTTGCTTGAAATTTCCAAGACTCTTCTTGGAAATTTCAGTGGAAAACTCTAAAGTCCTGTTTACCCTCACTGCACCTCTGAAAAGTGAACTCGGCAGGTATTATAAAAAACATGTACGGAGAGAAATGTTCAGTAAAAATTACAGAACTCACAGTTTCGGATTTCGACCAATCAGAGCGCAGTATCTGAGGCTACCCGACAGTTTTATTTCGGATATTTCCTTATAGCTTTTGAATATTTCGCAGTAGTTCTTCATTTTTTTTACCTGATTACCTGAATTAAAACAACCCAGGTGAGCCTGATTAGGTTTCAATTATGACAATCTCGTTGCTCTAGAGAATGACTATGTTGCACATTAACTTTGGATGAACTCAGTAGTGAAGTGGTAAAAATTACCGAAACTGTGAGTTCTGTCATTTTTACTGAACATTTAAACATGAAATGCGTTGAAAGATGAAAAACATTTGAAAAGCTACTAGTGAATTTCCGTCGGAAATTTTTTAGAAATTTCCGAAATAAAACTGTTTGACAGCCTCAAATACTGCGCTCTGATTGGCGGAAATCCGAGTGAGAAAAATAATCAGGTAAAAAAAATGAAGAACTACTGCGAAATATTCAAAAGCTATAAGGAAATATCCGAAATAAAACTGTCGGGTAGCCTCAGATACTGCGCTCTGATTGGTCGAAATCCGATTGGGAAAAATAATCCTCGAAAATTTCACTGCTTCCATCCAATTGATTAATAGGTAACTCATGAATGTATACATTTTATTATCGTTATTCTTCATAGCGATAATTTCACGGAAAATCGATGGCCCCATACAAGGACGAGACAAGGTTGCGGGTGACGCAAAGGGACAAAGTACAGAAGTATTTCGGAGGGCGATCGATGCCAGTTGTAGTCACTAACTAGTTCAAGTGGTAATTCCAATCAAATTTAGATAACTTATCAATTCTTTTCGTCAGTATCGTTGGGAATATCAGCGAGAACTAATTGATGAAGTGAGTCCAGTACAGAAAGTGACAGAAAATGTGTTAATCATAATTGGAATTATTGGAAATCCAAGGGGATAGTTGGCGATAAGATGAATTTTATCAATGAAATTTGACTGAGATCTTATTTTTATCTCGGATTGATGTCAATTTTCGTCAGCGATATCAATCGGAGATGGGGCACTTGAGTTTTCTGAGATATTTTTCTTCCAAAGGCCACACGTGAAGACTCATCGAGTCCAGCCTGAGCGCTGATAACATATTGTGAATGGATTTTTTCGGGATTTTCAGTTTGAGTTTAATCATTTTCTGGGGTCGATAACCAGGGAGAATTGACCTAGAGAAAAACAACCCAGGCGAGCCTGATTAGGTTTCAATTATGACAATATCGTTGCTCTAGAGGATGACTATGTTGCACATTAACTTTGGATGAACTCAGTAGTGAAGTAGTAAAAAAGAAATGAGTGCATTTTTTTCGAAATTCGTAATATTATTATTACCATTTGAAAATTAATATTTCAGTGTGATTCATCCAAAAATTATTTTTTAATGCAGTTATCTTCTTTTACCACTTTGCTGCTGAACTCCAATGATTATTCATATTTTCTAAATTCTTATTTTGTAGAGGAAAGAATTTAAATAAATTTTTTAATGTTGATAATTCAGTAGTGAACTGGTCAAACGGTTTAAGTCAATTCCATTCTAGTGCCAGCTCTCGATGAATATCTCAAATTCTAAAGGAGTAAGTAAAATTTTCCTAAAAACCTTTTTTGTAAAGAAATCTTTCTTAAATTCCGAGGTATTCGACAAAAACTCAACTCGGACCTAAGTCAACTTAAACCGATTGACCACTTCACTACTGAATTATTGAGGAAGTTCATCTCAGGTGCCAAGTTTTGCAGATATTTCTTTGCTGTTGACACCTCCATTTGTTTGCAACGGAGCTATCATAAAATACACTGTTGGATTTTTTTTTGAAATTTCATGGAAGATTTTACAGTAGAACTCATGGCGAATGGAGGCAAATATTCAGTAAAAATTACGGAACAATTCACGTAATCCGCAATGGGGAATAGCTTCCCCGAAGTAAAGAAGTAAAATTTTACAGAAACTTGCCGATTTATTATGCCTCCAAAATCAAAAATTCTTGAACGTTCAACAATTTTTATGAAGTTGGTCAGTTACTCCTCCGTTTCGTTCCGTAAAATTTCTCAATCGTTGGGGAAAAATCACGGAACGACTTGTTGTCCCCAGAGCGGTGAGTCATCAGACGGATGGTTAATTTTTACGGAACAATTCGTACAATTTACGTGGCCATTCGTACAATTTCACTTCCGACTCACATTTTTTATTGAATTTTACTTCGCTCGCCGATTACGTTTCGAAACGTAATTTTTACATTTTTTTTCTGGTAATTTTTATTGAATTTTTCTCTCCATGCAGTGATTGCTATTCCCTATAATTTTTAAATCATTAGAAATAAATAAATTTGATCAAGTTTAAGGAAAAATTGATTAAATTCAAATAAAGAAATTCTCTCAACTTGAATAAAAACGTGATTTCGGACTATTTGAACTCGGACTATTTATTTATTTGACCCAAATCAACTTTATTTCATTAGAATGAATAATTTTTCTGAGCGTACAAAGTTTCCATTCAAAAGCAAAGGAAAACTAAATTCTCACAATAGTGAATCATCCTGAGAATGGACTGCTACCTGATGGTCACTGTCTAAAGGTCAGCCTCCGAAATATCACCCCGAAGGTCTATCTTTAAATTCCCTCAACCTCGGAATTTCAACTCGCCACAAACACTCAACAATTTACATCACCCAGATCTCTTATCACCGGTTGAATACAAAAGTGAGATAGAAGGCGAAGTGAAGGCAACAAAAATCTCCTCAGAATGACTAAAAGTGGCTGGGAATGAATAATATAGTACGTCGACAGCCTCGCCTCTTCCACTTTGATCGACTGATAACTCTCGAATGCAATCATTCAATTTCCATTCTCAAGATTGTTGAAAAAAATTCAAGCCCGTCTCCCATGAAAAAACATGCATGTGGGAACTATTTGTAACATATGTGAAAAATATTTAAGCCCTATAAAATTGATATGAATCGGATACGAGACTTGAAATATGATACGGAAGTCGTCATCCTGTGATGTTCACAGAAGAAAAAAAAAATTTTTCTGGAACATGTTACTGATTTCTAGGGATCTGCCGCCGCTTTTTAGAAATCTGTCACCAATTCAGTAGCGAACTGGTCAAACGGTTCAAGTCGATTTTGACTATTGGCCAGTTTTCAAAGAATATCTCGAAATCTAAGGAAGATAGCAAAATTTTTCTCCAAATCTTTTTAGTAGCACTCAATTCGCTCTACAAAAAAGGTTATTATGAAAATCTCCCTTCAATTCGGAAATATTTCTGGAAAATTCAAGAGGAAATTGACTTAAACCGGTTGATCACTTCACAAATAGAATAATTTGGCGATAGATTCTTAAAAATTGGAGACAGGTCCCTGAAAATCAGTAACATTTTCCCTGAAAATTAGCGAGAATGTCACTGGAAATTGATCATAAATTCACCAAAAACTAATGACTAAATTATCAAAGCCCAGAATTTTGCATTCGTTGAATTTTACAATTACACTGATTTCGATTTAAGTGGAAAAAGTCAATGGATTTTCAAGTTTCTTTGAAAATTCAAGTAAACTCACATTTTTTTTGACAGGAAGATGGAAATTCCACAATTTACATGCGTTTTCAATTGAAACTGAATATTTACTGCAGAATTCCATTGAATTCTCATTCCGGGAATTCCAAGAATATTAAAGGAATTCCCTGAAAATTCAGAGCAATCTGGAGTTCAAGAAGAGATCACTCAATTTTCCTGATTTTTCATTAATTTCACAGGGATAATTAACTAAAATTTACGGAATCATTAATTGAAGCCGATTATCAATTCAGTAGCGAAGTGGTCAAACGGTTCAAGTCGATTTTGGCTATTGGCCAGTTTTCAATGAATATCTCGAAATCTAAGGAAGATAGCAAAATTTTTCTCCCAATCTTTTTAGTAGCACTCAATTCGCTCTACAAAAAAGGTTATTATGAAAATTGCGCTATCTCTCTTCAATTCGGAAATATTTCTGAAAGACTCACCTAAAGACTAAATTGATTTGAACCATTTGACCACTTCGCTACAGAATTATTTTCGTCACTGAAATTTGGTGAGAGATTCCTCAAAATTCAAGATGGGTTTATGAAAATGAGTGACATAGCTCTGAAAATTAGTGATGATGTTCCTAAAAATCAGTGACGATGTCACTGAAAATTGGTGACAAAATCACTCAATTCCAAATTTTTGCACTCACTGAATTTCACAATCGCAAATCCCCAATAATTTGAGATAAATTCTCGAAAATCACTGACATGTTCTTGAATATCAAAATCTCTTTTCTTTCTCTCTGAGAATTTCTACCTGAAATTTTTCCGGCTATCACCTGGGCTCCCAACCGGCTCCAATAGCTCAAGTATGACAAAATTGATCACAAAGAATAAAACGAATGATTGAGAATGAATAAAGGAGTTCAAACAACTGCGATTCCCTTTCCCACTTCCAATTGACTCCTTAACGGCGCCAAGGCCCCTCCAGTAATCACTTTCGTGCGAGATAAAAGACTTGAATCACGACAATTCCCTCTTCTAGGATAAGATTTACGTCAGATCAACGCGGAAGTAAGGATCAGTTTCTAAAACGCATCGCTGTGACTTGATCAATGAAATTCTTTGTGTCGGGACATTTTTTATCCAGCTCCAGTCATTGCGATTGGAGCTGGATAAAATATAATTTGAAATATATTCAAGTTACCCTGCGGGACTAGCGCACTGCGGTGGTGGGTAGGCTTACACCCAAAAAAAAATTACTTTTGATCAGTAGCAATAGTACTTGTACCCAGTACCAAGGGGTTTCTGGGGAAAAGGCACATTTTTGTACTTCCTCGAAGTTACAAAACAACTTTCTGCAAGTTCATGCGTCAAGTACCTGTCTACTGATGAGAAGTACCTCAGTACTTGTCACAAGCATTTTGTTACTTGGGACAAGTAACAAAATTACTTGTACTGAGTATCTGGCTGGTTCGTCTCAAAAGTACCAAATAAACTCAATATAAGTTGACTATAAGAACTCAAAAATGTTTTTCTACCTCTTCTAAAAACCGAATTTCGTCAAAAATTCAAAAACCCAAATAATTCCCGTTTTGTGAGTAATAAAATTGAAACGAAATTGAAAATAATTTTTCGAAGCCTTTTAAATGTTGATAACAATATAAGACAAAAATCTCAACAAAATTGAAATTTTGTAGATTGGAAAACATACCAATAATTTTCGAAAGCATTCATAAAAATCGCAATCTATTAATTTTTTCCTACAGAATATCTTCTGCTGAACATTTCTATTTACAAAAATGCGTAAGCCCATTCTATCCGGTAATAATATTCACTTTTTTCAATAGAGTAATCAATTGGAAGTACTGAAATTAAGTCCTAAAAGTACTTGAGAGAAGTTGAAAAATTACTAAAAGTACTGGCAGTAAGTAGTGATACTACTTCCTCCCAGTACCATTTCTACTCGATCGGCAGATGTGGTACTTCACCCAAGGGCGCAAAATGTACTTGGGATGAGTATTTTTAGAACTTTTCAAAAGTGAACTTCCCCCAAGTAGGGGGAAACCTACCGGTTTGTACTGGTGAGAAGTAATATTTTATTCGTGGTACACGGAAAGAAATATTCAATAAAAATTACGTATCTTTTCCGTAATTCCGGAGCGAAATGTGGTTGTAGGAAATTTTACGGAACTGTCATGGAATTTTTCCGGAGCGTTCCGTAATTTTTATCTGAATCTCCGGTGAAAAAATACGATACCGTCACTTAAATTTTCTGAGTCCATTCCGTAATCGGTGAGTGAAGTCAGAGTGAGAGTCAGAGTGAGTCGCTGAGTGATGTCCGTAATTTTTACTGAACATTTCTCTCCGTGTATATCCACGAATAAAAAATCGTTCTCGTTTTTAGAAAGAATATGTTCGCTGTGCCCTCACACTCGCCGAGGTAATGACGGTTTAGTGAATGTGATGACTTTTTTTTACCTGAGAACTGCATTATTCAGATTCTCCAGATGAAGTGCTGGAGGTGGTGATCTGATTGTCACCTGGTGCGCCCCCTCAGCAATGAACTGTACTTGCTCTTCACCATTGTACCTCGATGCACTGCCCAGTGTGAGATTCTTCATGTCACCCATTCTCCGTTACCCTTATCTTTCCCTGGAAATCAGAGGTGAAAAATTGATATTCACGAATTTCATGAATGAGGGAACGAAAATTTCGCGTTTAATCTGATGCATCGGCGGGTTTGGCTCGTGTTTATACTTCCAGAGCATTTGGTATGAATAACGAGGGCAAATTGGCATGATCGCAGCGCGAGAAAACAATTTCTGTCTGATAAACTGAATACACATTCGGAGGCTGGCGTTAACACGTGCCGTCGATGCGCGTGATTTGTTCTTTGGAAGGGAATAGAATTGAGTTTGTTGCAGTGGTCGTGTGGGGAAGATATTGCGGGATGAATAATAATTTCCGGAGTGGGGGAGAGACACGTGGGAGATGACTGCTGTCACTGGGCAATTGTAACTTTAGATGAGCAGAATTTTTTGAAATTCTCGGGAATTTTTTGCCTCGGAGAAATTTATTTGGAAAAATTTTGCGTGATTGCAATTGTCATTAAGTCTTTTTTCTTCTTTATTTCCTTTTTAACTTCCGGATTTATATCCGGCAGTTATTGTAATAATCCGAAAGTTGAAACTGACAATATCATGATATCTTCGCGTTTCATGACCTCTAGAAACTTGCTATCAATTTTTTGTTCAACGATTCCTCTGGAGTGAACGATCCGATTCTATTCTTTTTTGAGCAAATTGATGTGTTTCTATGCAACTTTAGGATTTCCAAGTACTTTGGAAATTTTTTCTCCAGTGAAATGCTTTTCTACTTTTGTAGACGAACATCAGCGCAACTGGGGCGCGCCCCAGTTGTCCCTACACGGAGAAAATTATTTTGTGAATTTCAGCAACTAGTCGTTGAAATTCATCAACTGGTTGATAATTTCTTTTTTTCAACAACTAGTTGGTGAATTTCAACTAGTTGTTGAAATTCACCAAATAATTTTCTCCGTGTAAGTTTCCAGACATTTTACAATGATTTTATTATTTCAATTTTGCTGGTCTGAATTTAAATCTCGATATTGAACCGATGGAAAACATTTGAAATATCCGAAAAAATTAGAAAGTTTACTTTTAGATAAAAACTGATGAAATAATTAAAAAATTGCAATTTCTGAAAATTACGAGTATTTTCAATAAATAATTTATAAACAATCAATTTTCTACCACAAAAATCATTTGTTCGGGATCGTAACAAATTGATTCATGTTTATAATTTTACCAGAAATCGATTTCAGGCCTAAAAAAATAGTTCAAGCAATTGCAATTATTTATTCATGAACATCAAATGTTAAAAAAAAAAATAATTCTGTGCAAAATGTAATTTGAATAACGCTAAATATTCATAATGTTTTCCAAATTTTTCTCGCGCAATTTAATTGACAAAAACTAGTGAAAAAATGTCCAAAAATGACCCGAAAAAACGTCCCAAAACACTGTTGAAAAAATTCACCTGAATTTTCTGGAAAAAGACTTTGAATTCAATTTAAGGGGAAAAATTCAATGGAATTTCAAGTTTCTCTGAAAATTCAAGTAAAGTCCCAAATTTTTAGCGGCAGGCAGACGGAAATTCCACAATCTATAGGAATTTTCAAGTGGAACTACAACTCACGTAATTATAAACAATACACAACTTTAAAATTCTTGAAATTCTAGGAATATTGAAGGAATTTCACATCCTTACCATTAATTTTTCCGCAATGATTAAACTGAAAAACTCCCACGCATTTTCCCACGACATTATGACTTTTCAGTATCAAAATTCCTTGCAATTTAAGTATTAATCACTTTAAGTGATTAATCATTTAAGTCACTTGTTAAAAATTTCCAAGACTCTTACCGGAAATTTCAGTAGATGATTTTTAACAGTGACCGACATGAAAAGAAACCGAAGCGTTTGTTTCACGAAGTAAAACTAATAAAGTGGATAATTCCTAGGATTTAATTCTTCATTCAATACAAAAACCAATAAATCGTGTTGAAAACTGATTGCAACGCAAAAAAAGTCCCGATGGCCTCCTTACCTTCATGCAGTTTCAAAATAATCTAGAACACAATTTCTCTCATTAAATTTAGTTCTCTGAATTATTGTAATAAAAAACTCGCTCAATAAAATCGGGATAAAAAAGCCAATAATTCTTGAATACTTTGTCGTGAACGCCTCGAAGCATTCAGTGCAATAATCCCATCGAGAGTGACTCACTCGCTGAGTCAAATAACTCCAGCACTCTCGTCCGTCCATGCTCCCCCCGAACGAATTAAGGGTATTATGGCGGGGTCCATAGCTGGAAAAAAAAGGCAGAGAATTCAATGAAAATTGCTGAACAGATTATTCGATCCATTTGAAAGCCGTGTGCAAAATGTCAAGACCCCTACCTAAACAATAATAATGGGAATAATTTTTGAAGTTGCTGCTTAGACACGCGGTTGAATGGGGCATCGGTAATTTTAGTGCTTTTCCTACGTTACTGATCTATCGATAACGCAGGAAATTCACAAAAATTACCGATGCCCCGTTCAACTGCGTGTATAAGTAGCAACTTCAAAAATTATTCCCATTGTTATTATTCAGGTGGGGGTCTTGACATTTTGTACATGGCTTTCAAATGGATTGAATAATGTATTCAGCAATTTTCATTGAATTCTCTGCTTTTTTTCCAGCTACAGATCCCGCCATAATACCCTTAAGGGGACACGGAACCCCTTTGTCTACATCAAATCTTAGAATTGTGTTTTCTCCTACAATTATTAATTTCTATCCATGAAATTACTTTATCGACTCGATTATCGCAGTGTTAAGTCAATGAAGTAGTTTAATGAATAAAAAATAATAATTACAGAAGAAAACACAATTCTAAAGATTCATATAAACGCAGGGGTTCCGTTTCCCCTTAAACTTGAAGAACCAGGGAAAAGAGTTGAACAACACGAGCGAAAAAAATCGGTCAACTTAAGGGTGCCAAGTGAATTTGGTGATGGCCTTGAAAATTGACATTCACCAACAAAGTTATAATTTTTTTAATTAATAGTATTAGACAGATGGTGAACATCGGTGACAATTTTAAAATTTTAGAACTTATGGATATCGAGAAATTAAATAAACAAAATCAGTCTTATACACGGGCTCTTATGGAGTTTTGATTAAATTGAACGTTTCAACCCCCTAGGAACTCAAGAAAAATTTGAAAAAATTTCAAGATATGGGGAATGATGTGTTCAATGTGATGGCGACAAAAAACAATGGGGTACCGGGGTGAATAAGAGAGATATTTCAACCCGCCGTACCCATTTGATCCCATGATTTCTCGAGGTTCGTCACGCGAAATAGAGGATTTTCCGCATTTATTTTCTCGATGTCTAGTTCCGGTTGCGGGTTTGAAATTTCGTCGGATGGATGAATAAATATTTCTCCAATGATGGAGGAAAAGAAAAAATGTTTTTTGAATGTTTTTTAAAATTCACTTGGCACCCTTAACGCGAATATTTTATAGCATTCGAGAGATGTGAAATCGCGGAAAAAAATCATGCGAGTGGTGAGGCAGGCAGTTGGCGCAAATCGTGCAATGCGCCGTTCCGGCAGACTGATCGGCGGCAGGATAGTCACCGTTCCTCTGGCATGTGGCCAAGGAAACGGCGGATTTTTCTCATGATTTTTTTTCGGAATTAAAAGGGCCATGAATGACCCTTGAACATGAATTATCGATTTTTGCATGGAATTGAGGGGAGAGTCCTTAGGATTGGTCTTGTTATTTTCGAGGGGATTTGATTTTCTGGGGCTTTGAGCGACTCCAGGGAAACTTTTTGTCTCTAGTACACTACACTGTTAAAAAATTTCAGTCATAATACCCCAAGACCTTCAAAATTATCGGATATTTCCCGAATGTTTTGTTGCATAGCAACGAGAGGGATCAGTTTTGCAGATTAAAATCCCGAGCGCGCAACGCCAGGGCATCCCCGCGCACATCCCCTTAAAAAAAGAAATGATAACATTCGAAAAAATTGATTGTCTGTGGGATTCCTCCAAAACTACTGGAGATAAAGATGTCCTCATATCGAATTTTTCAAGAATAGTTCGTAAAATCATCCTTGAAATAAAAAAATAATGAACATCTTTTTTTCATTCTCAATCATTTCCCATGGAGTAAATAATGAAGAGTATTCGATTACAAAATAGAGTATTAAATATCCCCCAGGAGTACCCACTCCCACCGCAATAATTTAAATCGATATGGAATCCGTCTTACATGATAACCAATGGCATTTAGTTACACCGAGGTGCAACGGCCAGCATTTAGCTTCGATTAAAGAAATTCAATATCGCGCCGTACGTAAGAATTACGAATCGTTCCGCAGCTGTTGTGTCGCATGATTCACACGTGAAAAAAGGATAATAAATATCCAGAAGAAAGGAAAAATTATCATGAATGAGTGTAAAAATTACGCTTGAAGAACTTTTCTCATCTTTCCTACGGGCAATTAATTAAGACCAGGCCATGATCTTAAGAATGTTATCTGGAGATGCCCAGGTGTGAATTCGGTGTTCTGTCACTTGAAATCAATTGATAAAAATTATCAAGTAGAAAAAAGTTAATAAAGATGTTAAAGTCCACTATGAAGTGCACATCGCGTTCAGATTATTCTGCGAATATCTTGGAAACTAGTAGGTTGAGGACCGGTTGTTCCAAGCCCTGTTAAGGATGTACATATTACACCCTGTTCGCCAAAATTCACGTTTTTTAAATTTTTCTGGTAAATTGAAAAAATATACCATTTTGCGCTTTATCATTACTTAATGACTCACGAAATTTCATGAACGTGCAATCACTTTCCTGCGTTTTTTCTAAAACTTGTCGGAAATTCACAAAACTTTAGAAAAAATGCAAGAAAATGATTGTCTACTATGAAACTTTGTGAGTCAGTCAACAATGATAAAACGCAAAAACGGTATATTTTTTCACGTCAATCCGATCAATAATTTGCCAGAAAAATGAAAAAAACGTGAATTTTGGCCGAATGGGTGTAGTACATCGTTAATCAAATAAATCGTCAGAATAAATTTGACAGCACTGTTAGAAATTCTTTGAAATTTAAGTAACAGATGCAGTTGAATTCTCAATATTCTGAACTTGAATTCAATTTCAAACTAAATTGCTAATAGAATTCTTGATTCATCTTGGAAATGCAATCAAATTAATTTCTTCATGATCATTGAATTTTCAAGGACAATTTGGATTTTCAAACCTATCGTGAAAATTAAGCGATACATTCAGTTGAATTTTCAACAGATTGAAAATTCTGAAGAAAAGTTGCCTGAATTTTCACGATCTTCAGTAATTTTCATTGTCGCATGAACCTGAGAAATCAAATTTCATTGAATATTAAAAAAAATTGCCTGATTTATTCATAACAAGATCAATGGAAATTCCGTGGAAATTATTCGTTGTCAAAAATTTCAAGATTTTTCACTGGAAATTTCAAGAGTTATTCCCACAGCTAGACAATTTTAGGAATTCGTCTCAGAGTGCTTTCATTCAGCCATTCGGTCGTTAATGTCGACCAAATACGTCATATTTAGCGGTATCATTGGCAAATAGTGATGATACATCGATACACCACATTTTTGGTGAAATATTTTGGACGAATTTTCGATCAAAATTGTTTGGTAGATTATTTTTATTTATTCCGATACTTAGCTGCCCAGGTGTGAACTGGATGTTTTATATGTTGAAATCAATTGATAAAAATTATCAAGTAGAAACCAACTTAAGGGGAGACTACTATGAGTTTTAAAAGTCGTGGGTTATTGGAGTGAGACTTTAGATAGATCTGAAAAGGAATAATTAGTGCAAAAAAAATTTTTTTTATTGTTCGTTTGCCCGAAAACGCTTAAATTGCCAAAAACAGTCCAGGGCCTCCAATTTTTGAGCTACAAATGATTTTTTTTTTCAAAATTTTCGGAAAAATATGTGGAATAACAATTACGAGCTATTTTTTTAAATTCACCTCTTACGTGGCTAAATTTGCTTTTTTGAATTTTTTTACATAAATAGTGAATTTTTTGTAAATAAAAAAACCGAAATCAGCTGTGTAAGAGTCGAATTCCAAAAAAGTGACTCATAATTGTTGTTCCACACATTTTTCCGAAAATTTTGAAAAAAAAAATCTTTTGTAGCTCGAAAATTGGAGGTCCTGGACTGTTTTGAGCATTTTAAGCATTTTCGGGCAAACGAACAACAAAAAATTTTTTTTTTGCACTAATTACTCGTTTTCAGATCTATATAATCGATCTTCAACGTATGAAAAGTCTTACTCCAATAACCCACGACTTTTAAAACTCACAGTAGTCTCCCCTTAAACCTTCATTAATGTAAGGGTTAAATTCTTGGAATATTACAGAAATTTAATATTGATGGGGATCCCCGGTAGTCTTTACCACACTGTGAAAGATACTTGGATATCCTTAAATCACAAGCCAATCAGCCGACCGCCTCCTCAGACTGTACTAACCCATTTTAATTTTCACAATTCCTCCATGCCCGAAATCCGTGACGATTGCGTGTCACTTGGAGGCAGTAGAATGCCCGATAAAAATTAAAAATTAATTGATCACCGCATGCTCTCAATTACTCACATCACCGAGAGAAAAGATAATAATCATTTCCAAGAGAATTCGTCACGCAGGAATCGATGATGGGACAGGGCAAAGTGTAAAGTCGCCATGTGGGAGAATCATCATTCCGGAGTCACCATTAGACAGTATCAACAACGTGACTTTTTTATGGATCAAGGACGAAGAGTGAATGTTAACGAAACCATTTGCAAATGCAGTTTAAAGTTCTGGAATACTTTCTTTCTGGTGTACTTGGTGCATTGGAGTTGGTGGTGATAAAAAGGGGTGTCGTGTCGATGCTCGCATGGCAACCCACATCCACCAATTGACAACAAAAAGAGTAAAAACGTACATTCACCTCAAAACGGCACGATTTTCTCATTTTATCTGATAATTGAAGTTTCTACTTTTGGAACAAAAAAAAAATTATATTATTCACTGTAAATTGAAACCGCAATATTTATATTACGATCAATAATTATGAATTTTGTTTAAACAACACGAAATTACGGGAAATTAATAAATTTTCTTAAAAATGATTAGAAATGAATCTATCGAAATTTTTGTTACGTTAAAAAATTAATGATGAATAATTATTCATTAATATTGAAGTTTCTCGACTGCAATTCATCAAAATGTTGAGGGAATGCAAATCACTAAATGAAAAACTCGAAAACATTTTTGCAATTTTTGTTGCGCTTAAAATGTTTAAATCATGAGAAAATACAAAAAAGATGTCGAAATTTCAGTTTTTACGACGTTTTCTATTCTCCAAAAAATTAATTATAACTTGTCACTCTCGATTTCGCTTTAATTAAATTAAATATCGTTGACATTCGAGCCCTACCAGCACTTGGCGTTACCCAGGATTCACGACGGGGACAACAAAAAGAGTAAAATCGCACATTCGCAAAAAAAAACACAAATTGTTACTTTAATTGATTCAATCATTTAATTTTCTTCACTTATAGCAAGGGAAAAAATAGTATCCTTCGTCACGAATTACAACCCCAATAATATTATTATTAATAATAATTATGAAGTTTGTTTAAATAACACAAAGCCGACAAACAAATAAAATTTTCTAAAAATTAAAAATTGAATTCACCGAAATTTTTGCTTCATTAAAAAATTAATTGACAATGATTATTCATTGATATTGGATTATCATAACTACAATTGCCGAAAAAAATGAAGGGAATAAATGCCACCACTGGAAACCTCGAAAATAATATCTTCCAAATTTTTATTACGACGAAAAAATTAAACTCCAAAAAATAGAAAAAAATGAAAATGTGGTTTTTCCTCATTTTTTATCCTCTAGATAATTAATTACAACATGTCGCTATGGACTTCACCCCCACAATTGTTGTCAGCCGCCCCCAGCTGTCCACAACCCCCTAAAAACCGAAGCCTCCGAATATCCCCATTATTCCCTAAAAACTCATGATTCTTCAATTATTATCAAACAACACTAATCAATACTGCACACTTCCCCTTCCCCGTCATCACCCCCCGATCTAACCCTCAAGCCCCTCAAAAAATCGCCCGTAAACCGCAGAAACCACACAAACTGAAAAAACCGAACCTCAAATTTTCTCGATTAAAAAAAATTAAAAATCGATAATCTGCCCTTAAAATGCCTTTCAACAATGAAAAAAAAAAAACCAAACTCACAGCACGTTGGTGGGTAGCCCGTTGAGCCGTACCATAACCCCACACCCCCAACTTCACAAATAAAAGGATAACAATCACTTCAGGCCTCGTCTGATCCTGCCTTACTGTCACTACTCGCATCGATCAACTGGCAGTTGAGTGACTCGCGGCCGTGTGCATCGTCCAATATATCAGTGAACTAGACACAAAGGATTTTAGTAGTTGCTGCCTTTTGTCCAGCCACACCAGAGAGTGGGGGAGGCCAGTCGATTTGACACAAGTGCAGCTGCACTTTCATTCACAAGTTGTTTCATCTATTCCCAACGTATCTAGTGTTTTTCGATCGAATTCGTTAAGTCTAGTTGAGATTTTGTGGGGTAAGAAACACTCAGTGCGGACGTGTGACTTTTACTCGGGGTGAGTAATCACGGGGAGTCGCGGGGTGAGTCCTGCGTGCGGGTCGTGGACGCACACGTTATGCTACTGGCGAGGAGGCACCAGCGTCAAAATCAGCTGGCTGTGGCGGTACCACTCGGCTGGCCTCGTGTCGGCCAACGCAGGAGTGTAGAGACACGGGGGAAATGCTGGGGCTTCATTGGAAGGACGTACGTTCACCCGAAGACAACATTCATGCGTCATCGTTCGTCAACATTCGGACGGAAGCCGTTGGAAGGGGGTAGTCTATTTTTTGAATGTCAAATATCGTTTGGGAATTACGGGGAGAACATTGTAATGAACCATTCAGGGGTTTTGGTAGGAAGCCTGCACGGAGAGAAATTTTTGATTAAAATTACCCTACCGTTCTATAAAAGTGTATCATGAGTCATCGTTTCCTCATTTCTATCCCGACATTTAGTAAAAATTAATATATGATGATCAAATTTTATTCTACGTTTGAGAAATTTTATCCTGACGCATAATAAATTTTACCCTTCCAGTCCAATAATTTTTATGTAGATAACAACGAATATTCTAGAACGGTTGGTAAGTTGTAACCTACCGATACAGTAATTTTTACGCTGCCGTCACGGCAATTTTTATTTTTATCAGAATAAAATTTCTCTAACGTAGAATAAAATTTGATCATCATATATTAATTTTTAATAAATTTCGGGATAGAAGTGAGGAAAGGATGACTCATGATACACTTTTATAGAACGATAGGATAATTTTTATCAAAAATTTCTCTCCGTGTGAGTGGGCTGCTGGTGGAAAATTCCGCACGTCCGGACAAATGACGCATTTAATCTGAGTTGCTATTGGTTTTCTATTTTTCTGGTCATCAATGTCCCGATTCAAAGGAATTTATTTTTATTCGCCCGGAAATCGAATGTGGAATTTTCATGATTTGTCGACGTTTCAGGACCCCTGGAATGATTCTGACGTTTTTGAAGACGTTTATTTGTGTGGGTGTGTGCACGGCCGAAAAAATTTAATAGAAAAACCTATCGAATTCGTTAGAAAATTCTACTGAATTTCTGTTAAACTTTCTATTAGTTTTTTGCTGATTCTATTGAGATGTTCAATAGAAAAAATTCAGTAGAACAAGTTAACAGAATTCGATTTTACTTTGTAACTTATTCTTTTCATATATTTTCTATAGAATTTGCTCGACTCTAATTTTCCAAGTTTTTTTCATTCTATTTTTCTTTTCTTCTCATCAAGAAAATCAAACGAAAAGACTTAGAAAATTTGAGCCGATTCTATAGAAAATATCTCAATAGAATAAGTTATATAGAAAAATTAAATTCTATTGACTTTTTCTACTGAATAATTTCTATTGAACATTTAAATAGAATCGGCCAAAAACTAATAGGAAGTTTAATAGAAATTTAATAGAATTTTCTAACGAATTCGATAGGTTTTTCTATTAAATTTTTTCGCGCGTGTCGAGCGTGTGATTGCGCATGCACATACGAATGTGAATAGAATTTTGTCCAATTATTCGTTTATTTTATTTTTAACGGAATTTGTTGCAAGTTCCAAGGGCCTTGCAACTGGCCATCGCCCGAATACCTTCAGCCGAATCCAATTCAGTAGCGAAGTGGTAAAACGGTACAAGTCAACTTTGACTATTGACCAGTTTTCAATGAATATCTCGGAATCTAAGGGAGATAGCAAAAATTTTTTTATAACCTTTTTTGTAGAGTCGATTGAGAGCTACAACAAATGTAATTACGAAAATTTCGGTATCTCCCTTAGATTCGGAAATATTCCTCAAAAACTTAACTGAGAGATAAGTCGACTTAAACCGCTTTATCGCTTCGCTGCTGAATTAATTATATTAAAATTACTACGTGGATATCCTCATAAAGAATGGCACTGGGAAAAAATACCAGTGGATTGACGAAAAAAATTCTGAAACTAGAACTCAGAACGCATTTGCGAAGGTTTTACCGCGCAAATTGCACGAGAAAGGCAACCAAGCAAGTGTGTTTATTACCACTCAATTCCTGCCATTGTCCGTGTAGCTTCCATCAAAACTGGAGCATTTTCTATAGAAATCTTCCGCTCTTTCTACTAACAAAGCAATTCCGAAAAAACTTCAAACCAGCGTTCACTTTAGAAAAAAAACATTTGCCGTTTTCCAAAAACTTGAGATTTTTTTTTATAGAATCCAAAAAATAGAGGATCCAGGGAATTCATCTCGAAAATGTTGTTTTCGAAATGTCCCAAGTCAAATTATTAACTCCAAATGGATGAAAAAACAAATTAATTTTTCCCGAAAATTCCCGTTTCTTCCATTACGTGAATTATCAATTTAAAAATATGAGACCGAACGCGCGGTACAGCGCGCTGTAATTGTAACAATCATAATTGAAAATCTCAAAATTAAATTAATCATGAATTAAATTTGCCGCCTCAGACGACTGGAACCGATGGGGAATAAGCGTGACAGACTTCCGACATATCGATAGTCATCGACTTTAAGTAAATGATCTTTTTAGAATAGGAACTCTCGTATAAGACTCTGTGTATACGAAAAAAATTGTTCACCCATTTTATCTCAGTAAATCTAGTGCAACTACACTGAGAAGAAAAAATAGTATATTTCCTACCTAGGGAAAGAAAATAAAGGAGTCGTTCCCACGTAAAGAATTATCACCCGAGCCCAAGGCGAGGACGGTAAACTCGTGGGTAAGGGTCCTTTAATTTACCTCCTGCAGTCAGGACGTTATTTTCCCGCTTCGCAGGAGGCAAATCTGCCTTTGCGCCCGCCGTGGTGGAAAATTCATTCTGCCGATTGAATTGGTTTCAGACTGCAATTTATAGTGAGATTTTGTGTAGGAAATTCCGACGATTGTTTTTCGGACGATTCTCAAAATACAGGATTTCATTTTGGTATGTACTGAGCGTCTATTGAGGGAAATACCCGATTCATTTTGAATCTCAAGGGGTACTTGTCGGATTATTTTTCCCAATCGGATTTTGGCCAAGCAGAATGCAGTGGACAACATCAGGAAGTGAATTGGGGAAGATTTGAACAAATTATGTTAATAGAATAACCCGATTTTCATAGACTGTCAAATATAAGATTCTATCTGAAATGAGCCAAAAAAATGAAGAGCTACTGCAAAATATTCAGGTAAAAAAAATGAAAAACTACTGCGAAATATTCAGGTAAAAAAAATGAAAAATTACTGCGAAATATTCAAAAGCTAGGAGGAAATATCCAAAATAAAACTGTCGGGTAGCATCAAATACTGCGCTCTGATTAGTCGAAATCCGATTGGGAAGACTAATCAGTTGAATGCCGTGTTGACTATATAAAATAACAATTGAATAGTGGAATTCTGTTGGCTGAAATTTGGATGGGGAGAATTATCCCTCTCAAAAGTGGAAAAATCCTATTCTCAATTTCCCAGAAAATCCGTAACATTCTAGGGAACCCGGGGAATCCCACTACGCCCCTGCCTCTGCGCATGCTACAAAGCCTTCTTCCTCCTTTCGACTCAAAATCGCGTGTACGTGCGAGCGAATATCGTCTCAATGTATCAAGTAGATACAGTGTTGAGGCAGAAGAAAGAAACAGCGAAGGGGATTACGAACATTTGGTCTGTGGAATAGAGACAGCGCGACCCTGTGAGAACGTCATTAGAATAAAATGAAACAAGGAGGGAACGATGTGAAAGCAGGTTGGGTACATTGCCGCATGCGCTGGGTCGATACTCTCGGACTCTGCGAGTGCAAGTGCACTTGTACTCGGGGAGACAGTGGGGAGGAGAGAGAAGTGGGATGAGAGAGATGACGAGGGGGTACGGCGTTATGCCTCACCCAATGTTAAGAAAAAAAACGATGGAAGGTCGAGCGAACTCTAGAATTTCATAGTCCTACATACCTTCCAGTTTTTACAAAACAAATTTTTGACAGAAACAAAAATTCTATTTTTTGAGCTTTCGTTAATGTGCGTAATGGGGTGCGGAGGGGGGTTATTTAATAGGTGGGGAAATTTTAGTCGAAAAAGACAATATGAAAAATGAAAATGAAAGGTCGAGGGCTTTGAAATCTCTGACAAAATCCAAATAGTGGGTTCTTGGAAATATTGATAATGGCAGGGGGGAGGGGGGTTCATTCAATAGGTAGAAAAATTTTGGTCGAAAAAGGCAATATGAGAAAAATTCGAAAATCGAGCACTGTAAAAAATTTGGTGTTAAAATTACACCGCACCTGACATCGCATGTAAAATCTGGTGTTAATTCAACACCAATCAGTGTCGCAAGAAATCCACACCGGTTTTTTTACTGTGAGGGCCCCAGGATTTCTTAGGCCTAAATACCATCGGGTTTGGAACTCAAAGAAGATCAATCGAAATTTTACATTTTTTAAAAACATTGGTAATGAAGGGGGGGAGGGGGTTTATTTAATAGGTGAGAAATTGTAGCCGAAAAAGTCAATATGAGAAAAAAATAGACGTTCGAGGGGCCTAGGATTTCATAGTTCTAAACTTCCGATTTGCAGCTCAAGGAAGATAAATCAAAATTTTGATTTTTTAAAAATATTGATAATGGAGGCGGGGAGGTGGTTCATTTTTAATGGGTGGGAAAATTTTGGCCGAAAAAGTCAATATGAAAAATGAAAATGATAGCTCGAGGGCTTTGAAATCTCTGAGGTTTAAATAACTTCCGGTTTTCGTCTTATAAAAAATCCAAATAGTGGGTTCTTGGAAATATTGATAATGGCAGGGGGGAGGGGGGTTCATTCAATAGGTGATGAAATTTCGGCTGAAAAAATCATTATGAAAAATGAAAATGAAAAGTCGAGGCCTCTGTAGGATTTTATAATCCTAAATGACTCCCGGTTTGCAACTAACAAAAAATAAAAATTACCATTTTTCGTAAATATTGATAATGGAGGTGGGGAAGTGGTTCATTCACTAGGCGGTCAAATTTTGGCCGAAAAAGCCAATATGAAAAATGACAATAAAGGTCCAGGGCTCTAGAATTTCATAATCCCAATTAATTTCCGGT